TGCCGTGGACGAGCTTTCCGTGGCAACGGGAGTGGATGTGGGCCAGGCCCCGAGCGGCCCCGGTTGCAATCTTGAGACGGGCTTCCCAGTCCAGTGGGGACCCGTTTTCGCCTCGTTTGCCTGCCAAAAAAAAAAGTCGGTAATTCCTTTGGATTAAGGGGAAAATGACGAACTTCCGGTTTACTCGATCACTATCACTAGGCCACCATTGAAAGTGATCTCATAAGATTTAGTTGAAAAAGGACAGGGCAAGCTAATGACTACTAACTATAGCACTTTTTGGCATCAAGCATATGCAGAAAAAAGATGATACTGAAACTTACAAAAAACGGTTTTATCTTTCAAACTTACAAGTAACCCGGCCCGTCTAATGTAATTTTTCTTACAGAGGTGCATCCTCAAGAAAACTAATATGACTTTGGTTCGAAGGAAAGAATATGTATCAAACAAGCCACAGAAGAAATCACCATACATGAAGATTAACACTTACTCAAGAATAAAATATCGGTACAATATCTAGCTTAGAATCGTAAATAGAACTCAACAAAATTAAAAGAACTAAACAAAAAAAGTTCAAGAAAAAAGCTTTAAACTATTACCGTGAAGCAATGCCGATACGCTCCCCCAATGATAATAATCATACACGACGAGCTTTTCGTCCTTGGAATAGTAATAAGCTCTGAGTGGGACCACATTCTCATGCCTCACACTCCCGATAATCTCCATATGATGCTCAAACTCCCTTTTCCCCACAACAACTTCCTTCAACCTCTTCACGACAACTGTAGTAGCATCCTCAAGGGCCGCCTTATACGTAGTTCCGAAACTACCCTTCCCGAGTACTTCAGCCGAAGCCCTCAGCAAGTCCTCGAGGTCAAACGCCAGATTACACCCCTCGAAAAACGTGATCTTCCCGTTTACCCCTTGATACTCGGAGGCCATGCTCCTCACTGAATTCTCCTTCTTTTGCGAAGTGTTCGACATCGTATCGTCTCTTTTGTTGTTCTTTCTATTCACGACGAACAATAACAGCGCAACCGAAATAAACACAATCAAAAACCCGCCGATGGCTATTCCGAGAATGAGCGGTTCTTTGAATTTGGACGAGTGCTTTTTGTGGTTAGCCGTGGAGGAAGGGTTCAGAAGGGGTAGAATCGGAAATGAAATATTATTATTTCCCGAGAAGGCTGATCGGGGAAATTTCGAGAGTGATTGAGGGACGAGCCCAGTTAGATTGTTGTTGCTTAGGTTCAAAACTTGGAGGCTTGGCATGCAGAGATCGGGTATATAACCGGACAACGAGTTGTTTGCGAAATTTAAAGACATTAAATGGGTCAAATTGGAGATTGAAGATGGGATGTTTCCATTGAAAGCATTATTCGATAAGTCCAAAACCGAGAGATTTTTCCACACGGTGAAATTCGAAGGCAATGGGCCATGGAAATTGTTGTACTGCAGATGAAGATCGGTTAAGTGGGGAAGTTTAAGGAGGTCACGAGGGAAAGGGCCGCTAATGCCATTGGATCTCAGGCACAAGATCTCGAGGGCCGATAATCGGCTAAGGGTGTTGGGTCGGAGCTCGCCTTTGAATCCGATGGCGGGCAACCGAACGGCGATAATCCTCGATTGCTCATGATTGCAAGTGACTCCAGTCCAGTTAGAACAAGCTGAAGAATTTAAATCCCATTTGAGATTCCTCGAGAGGCGAGTGCTGGAGATGAATTCGAGAAGGACCCGTTTGTCCTCGACGGGCTCGGGTGCAGCTAGTGAACACAGCAAGCTATAGACTGACATTGCTGTAAAGATTAAGTTGATGCCCATCTCTCCTCTGTTTCAAGTCTTTTTTGGTGAGAAACTATGGAAAACCTCAAGGCTTCTCAAACAGTGTGCTTACTCTCTGCCATCTCTATAGACCACGAGAATTAGTAAGAAGAAAATAAATAAAACTAAAGTTCATATTTTTAATCTTTTGGGAATATTCTAAATCATGTTTGGTCAACCACCGGACACGATAATTGCTGTCAATCAGACAAAAAACAAATAAAGCAGCTATTTTTTTCTTCCCATCCTCACTGACTTACATCACCTGCTCATTTTTTCAACTTTGTGGCATCCAATTAGGCCCGTGATAATGTTTTTAAAAGAAAATGGGATTTATTTTAGTTTATTCAATTTTAAAATGTTCACCATTTTCATAGACCCATTCAAGAGTTTGGTGCATCTAAACCATAAACTCAATTCCAAATCAAAGAACCCAAAAAGGAAAAGAACACAAAATTCAGCTGAGTGGGTGAGAATAGGTTACCTGTAATGTGGAGATCAAAGAGCATTCGGCCCGGCCCGACAAACCCACTTACCAGAAAAGTCTCTCAGAGAGATTCACAGCTACGAAAATTCCCAAGAAGATCAGAAACATTAAAAAGAACAAAATCGTGCCACTGATAAGGTGAAACAAAAAAAAACAAAAATAAATGAAACTGGGGAAAACCCAAATGCAATAATCCAGAAAACAGACCGTTTGGTTGGTGGGATTAATGAATGGGGGGAAAAGGAGTGATTTTTCTTGCCTGAAATGGGCAGAAATGACTGAAAGGGGACAGAATAATAAATGATTGAGAGTGGGGTTTTCAGGAAGATGGGCAGTGGAATTTCCTTTTATTTTTATTATTTTATTTTTTTTCTTGGAATTTTTTGGGTGCTTTAATGGCGGGGGAAGAGGGAAAACTCCCATGTGCTGTAGCTTAAGGCGTAAAACATTTCAGGTGGGGCCAAATGTTTAGTGAAAAAGGAGATTGAAATAGGCGCAGTCACCTTGTTGAGTGGAGTCGATTGACTTTGGATCTTGTCGAGCTGCAAATTAATTTTTTTTCTTACAAAAAATTGAGCTTGACGAACGATGTAAAATTATGTTCGACTCGATTTGTGAAAAATTTAAGAATGTTCAAGTTCTACTCGATGTTTAAAATTGACTTGATGCTCGATATGATTCGAGTATGACTCAAAATTATAAAAACTAAAGCTTAAATATAATGGTACTCCATTCAATTTAATAGACAATTTTGGCCTTAGTGGTCTGATAGTAATAATTAAACTATATGAGGCATTTATGTAAATAAAAAATCGAGAGGCTCGTGGTGCTTATGAGTTTTTTGAAATGATGTTTAAACCTCGACTCTCTTACTCAATTGAACTGATCGAATTCGTGTTTGATCGAGCTTGAGCTCGCGAGCTGCTTGGCTCGTTTTCAGTCCTATACTTGGACACTACATATTACTGTTGTCGGGATTTTTACAGTTAAATCAAAACACATAGCGCCAATTCTTTGGTGGGGCAACTTGATCGTTAGGCGGGTATACTTGTCATACTTTTGTAGCAAAAATGCATAATTATGTGAAAAAATATCATACTTTTATTTATGTTGTTTTTGTAGTATGACATTTTTAGTTTTATGTTGAAAAAGTAAGATTGCCTTTGTCGTTACACTTGTCGAATCGTAGTCTTACTGCATATTCATAGTGAAAGAAACTGGGAGAAAATGGGTGCGGTCCCACTAACATGAAGCGCATCATAACAGGGAAAAGCCATATGAAGCTCAAGTGAGGTTCTATCACAAAACCAATTGGTGAAAGGGGGAGTAGCCCATTAGACTTATAATGTGGGTCTATTTTCCATGTATGAACGACGTGAGACAACTCATAAGTGATATTCTAACACGGCCTCTCACTTGTGAGTACTTAATAATAAGCCCAAGCTCATATACAGAGCTGGGTGCCCCAAGCCTTACTAGAAAGAGGCTCCCATAAATATGGTACGTGGGGAAAAATGTGTACGTCATCGTACGGTCCCAATAAAACCGGCTCTAATACCATGAAAGAAACTGGGAGAAAACATGTGTGGTCCCACTAACATGAAGCACACCATAACAAGGAAAAGCCCAAATGAAGCCCAAGTGGGATTCCATCCCAAAACCAATTGGTGGAAGAAAGAGTAATCCATTAGACTTATAAGGTGGGTCTATTTTCCATGTTTGAACGATGTGGGGAAACTCACAAGTGATATTCTAACACAATATAGGTTGAAATATATCGTAAAAAAATATGGATTGGACAAAGATGTAAAGAGTTGAGCTTGACAAAAGAGCTTGAGCTCTTCATACTCGAGTCCGGCCGCGTTAACGAGCCGATAAATGAGTTTGAGCTTGACTAATCAAATAAAACTTAACGAGAGAAGTTCGAACCTTAACAAACTGATATATAATAAAAATATATAAAAAAAAAAATAAACACTCTTATTTATCAAACGTGATGTGCAAGCTTGAACTCAATTTATTTATCGACTAAGTCGACCTGAAATCACGAACGGCTCGTTTCATTTAGCAACTCTAAATTAAAGATTATAGGAATAATCCTTTTTTACTATTAATATATTATAATAATTAATTGGTCACATTCCCTCAAACTTATAAAAATTACATTATTAATTACATTTTATGCAATTAATATATTAATTTGTATGCAATCAAATCGTTATGTACACTTTTAACCAATAGACAAATTTTAAAACATAATACCATTATATCACTTATAATTTTAAAATTATATGCATATATATGACTTATAACACTATGTTTAAAATATAATACTATTATCTAACGTATAAATTTATATTGTATGCATATAAATAACTTATAATATTTATTTACATTTGTGCAAATGCACACGGTCGAATACCAGTTATCTTCATTAGTGTGAAATGCTATTTTAGTTATATGAATTGCAATCAATGAAATGATTAAATTTTGTGCATGAATTTAGTGAATTTATAACACCTTGTTTAAGTAATTCTATATGGAATAAGATTATTTACTTTTCCATAACTAACATTTAATGTCATAACCAATATTAAATTATTTATTACTATCTTGTATTAATAATGAACTAGTATTTAATCATGTGCATGTGCACAAATATTTAATTATTACGTATATGTGTATAATTGTAAAATTATAAGTTAAATAATAGTATCACATTTTAAAAAAATTGTCATTATTAAAACTGAACATCATAAAAGTATTCAAATTCATCATTATCTTTATTGTATAAAATGAAATTGATAATTATTTTTCATTAAATTCAACTAATATAGTGTAGAATCTTGCATGAAAATTGTGAATTTGAATGAGTCAGTGTTAAGATCTCTATTACAAAAGATGATTTTTTGTATATATATATATATATATATATATTTTGGGTCGTATCTATAGCATATCAATACTTTAATACTTCTTTTGCATGTGAATAGTCAACATACAACTTAAAAATAAATATTTTTAACCATTTGCATTTAAATTTAAACATTATCTTGTAACACGCAACAATTATAATTTCTAAATATAGAGAATAAAAGTTAGTAATAACATGAAACCGTTACAAATTAAACCCAAAATATAGTAAAAAAAAAAAATATAGGTGGATGATTGTATGAAATAAATAAAAAAAAATATATATGGCAACCGTTTTTGGATGGAAGTCATGAAATTTTTCATTAAACAAACTTCAATTTTTATTAATTGATGTGGAAATAAAATTAAAAATGAAGTTTGCTAGCAATTATATAGATATATATTATACAAAATATGTACCAAAATTACTAACTCAAAAAATAATTAAATCACTTTTTTGTGGTAAAAATTCAACCAAAAATATTATAATCGCAGTGAGATCTACTGTTTCGAAATATTCCGATTCGTGTTTTATTCAATTGAATGGATGAGACGTATTAATAATGATGTTATAATAATACAAGTTTTAATAATCCAATTGAATAAAAATATAAATTAAATTATGGTTTTATATTACATTTTTTTTTCCTTCATTTTATGATCTGAATTTCTAAATGGGAATAACAGCCCTCATTTGTACATACAAAAAAATAAAAATAAAATAAAAAAAGTCTTCATGTATTTTCCAATATCTCTTAATCCAATTGTAATACTAGGTAAAAATAATGGATTAATTAAATCTCAAATTCGTCAACGCAATTAGGCATCAATACATAGGAATAAGTTGCACAGAATAGATTATTAGATTACGTATCCAAATATCCGCGGCAGTTCTCGCGCAATTGTGTCACGAGTTCACAATCGTTTTATTGTTAATGGATGCGATTTTTCGTAATTATCTTATTATTATATGTACTATAATATGTAGAGAAAATACTACGGTTCCGTTATAGTACTATCTCGTTGGGTATTTTAATCGGTGGATCATCTATCTTATCTAACTACACGTGAATCCAACAGTTAAACACTCGACGGGATGATACTGTAACCCAACAGTTAAACACTCGACGGGATGATACTGTAACGAGACCCATTTCCAATGATATGCATTAATCTTAATGAGATATGATATTATATGCTCCTAATATTATATTACTAAAAATAAAATATGATAAATAATTCAAAAACGATAAATTAAATAAAGAGAGAGAGAGAGAGAGAGAGAGAGAGAAAATTATGCTGAGAGGCATTGACTATCGACCCATGATTGGTATAGTTATATTTCTTGAATCGTTCAATTTAAGCGCCTAAATTTAAAAAATTGTTTGTACCAAAACAAAAAAAAAAATGCCTAACACTACCTAACGACAATAATATTGCATATATTTATATGACATAAAATCTTTTCGCACTTATCGAACAAGACAAGATAATATCCCAATATAAACAGAGTTTTGTTATTGGAACAAAACGTTCTTAATTTTTATTGTGATGTGGAGCTGAAATTGTATAAAACAATTAACAGATCCTTGAAAAAATAAATTATGAGTTTGCTATATAATCTTATTTTGTATAATATTTTCAAATTATTATGTGCAAAACACACTGCTAAAAAGGGGAGTTTTGCATAGTTTGAAAACTATTACCTACAACATATAATAAAAAAAATATTATTGCGTGACCCGTGCTATTCACGAACTATATTTATTTGAATAATATTATATTTTAAGACGTCTAATAGGTAGGCTAATTGTACAATAATATAATATTCAACAAAACAAAAATCATATATTATTAAAGACCTCCTTGTACACAACGCGAAACAACAACATATAATTGGTCATGATTAAAAACATATTTCTTTAGAAAGAGACCGATGTACGATAAAGACTATCTCTGACTCTTGTTTATGGTCATGATAGAAACATAAATGGAAAATGTCGCCGCTGGCATAATATAATGACTTTTTTTTTACGTTACTTTTTTATTCTTGATTTTATTGTATCATTATTCATTAGACTGGTTGATCAGTCATAATACAAACAAAGATACATACATATGTTATTTATTTTATGTCTTTTTAATATTTTTTTTTTTTTTAAATGTGACATTTACTTATTTAAAATATATAAATTAAAAAGTAGCATGTGGGTAAATGGTTGATATGGATATTTGATTGGTTTATGAATTATTTTTTTTTTCTAAATATAGTTACTTTTAAAAAATGCGGTATGGTTACTTGTTAGTGGGAATTTAAGTTTAAATTAAATAAATATTTAAAATAAAATAATTAAAATAATTTGATATAAAAGTAGAAAAAAAATTGAGAGTGGCGGTTATTTAAAATTATGTGAATAGATGAATAGTGAATTAAATTTGACATGATGTGTAAGAATTATTGGTTTATATTATTTAATTATATTGATAATATTGAGGATAATGAAATTGAATTAAAGTTAGAGTTAAATTTATTTTTATTTTTTACTTTTTTTTTTAAAAAAATTATATCCAATCACACTCTTTAGTCACGCCCCACCATAATTTAAAGAAAGGGAAATAGCTTGTTATATCACGTCATTTTCTCAAATTGTAAAACCATCACGACTTTTGCACCTTGGCGCATAATATCATGACCTTTGATTTCCTTACAATGCGATACACCGAAGTCAGAAATCGGTACGTGTTCGACTAACCTTTCATTACCTAGAATTAAAAATATGATGTGTATATACTTGTCCCACATGTATCCTCGCCGAAAGTATGGAGTGACAATGGGTTGAGTATATCTTTAAGCTCGGCGTTCGACCAAGCTCCTCGACGGTAAGGTGGGAGATTCTAAAATTCTGATGGGTTGGTTGGAGGAGACGAACAAGTTAGATAAATCATGTTTTTGAGTGGGGAGGGCAACTGCTGACCGATTGTTTTGCAAACTTCGATTGGGCCTGCTCGGGGTGAAAAGCTGGGTGGAAAAAGTGAAAAAAAATTGCTATTGGAGAAAATGAGAAAAGTGGAGCTATTAATTTTTATACACTTTGGACAAGTATATACACATCATATTTTAATTCCACTTAATAAAAGGTTGATCAGATACGTAAACATTGATGACCGATTTCCGACTTCAATAAAAATAAATCAAATGTCATGATATTCTGCGCCAAAGTGCAGATTTCGTGATATTTTTACAGTTCCACAAAAAACATGATACAACAAGCTAGTTTGCATTAAGGAAAATAAGAACTAGTTGCAATAAATAATTAGCTCAACGACCCTTCAACAAATAACTCTCAAAATATCGCGAGAAATAAAAAACGAGCGACTCTCTCTCGTCCCTCTTTGGATCTGCAAAACTTCGAGGTATTTCTTCTTCTTCTTCTTCATCTCTGCAATTTCATTTTCTCGTCCTTCCAATCCTTCACACTCTCTTTTCATTTTCCTTTCACTTTAAGCTCTATATTTTTCTCATGTTTAAAATGGCGGAACACAATTAATTCTGAAAAAATTCATCGTTTAGCTGATAATTCAAAGACGACTAATGGCTGATCGAAAATGAACGAACGAGGAACACAGGCATTATTGATCATCAGAGGCTCCGAATTTTATTTGCACTTTCAATTTTTTTTTTTTTTCACGATTTGGGGTTGTAGGTTAAGGTAAATTTTTTCCTGTACAAATAGAAGGCAATTGCAGTAAGAAATTGTTTGAAGAGAAGTTTAAATGATGAAAACGGTGTCGCTGCGAAGATTATTGGTATATATCACCATGTTCTGTAGCTCAATTAACCTTCTTCTGGGCTTTTGCTGACTGTTGATTACCATTTTTGTTTTCAGGTTTTAGTGCTCTGTGCTGTTCTATGCAAGCGCAGAGGGGCAGAGAGGCATTTTCTCACTGAGTGAGTTCAATTGTATTTGTCTTTTCCCTATTTTCTTTGTTTGTGAGGATGATGGACATGTTAATTTGTGAAAATGTCATTTTATATTTAATCTCCTTCGATTACAAAGGTGATTATTGGCATTTCTTGAGTGTAACATTAGTGGATTAACAGTGTCAAGTAACTCTTAAAAAACTGAGCAGTCTTGACTGGAATTGCCTGTCCAGGAACTTTGATGGGAATGTTTAGATTGGGAGAGTGTAGTTGGAAAATCTGCAACAATCAAACGCATTTTCTGTCTTGTAATTTTGTTGTTTGAATCAAACTAATGTCCACGTTTGTTGAACTTTTATGCCGAAATTGAACTATTCGGTGTGTGTATTTTCTTTTTCATGTTCAAGTTGTCTGTCAAATACGTTGTAATATGCTTCCTATAAGCATTCAGCTAACTTTGCCTTTGGTTCGTCATTTGTGGCGACATTTTTTGATAACCTTGCCACATAATGCAAGTGAGTATTGGTTAGTGAAAGATATGTTCTTTCATTTTTGTGACAGTGGTTCGCGAGAAAGATGCGTGCTGGGAATATGCTGACCGACTAGAAGGCAACAAGGTCAGGTGCAAATTCTGTGACCGAATTCTCAATGGCGGCATTAGCCGCTTAAAGCACCATCTCTCTCGACTCCCGAGCAAAGGTGTGAACCCATGTGCCAAAGTCAGGGACGATGTGTCCCACAAGGTGAGAGAAATAATCGCGCTAAAAGATGACGGCAAGGAAAATCCAGTTCCCAGGAGGCAAATTTTATCACCCGAGGTCAAATCTCCTCCCGAGCCCCCCATCCAATCACAGGCGTTGATCGCAAAACCAGTCTCATCCATCATGCCTTTAACTATTCCCCCAAGAGACGAACATGAAAATGCCGAGAGATGCATCGCCCTATTCTTTTTCGAGAATAAATTGGATTTCGGCGTTGCTCGCTCCCCGTCCTACCACCAGATGATCGACGCTATAAAAAAATGCGGGAATAATAGTGGGTTTGTGGGCCCCACAGTGGAATCGTTAAGGATGAATTGGCTGGGGAAAATCAAATCCGAGATGCAGCTGTGGTCGAAGGGCATCGAGAAGGAGTGGGCCATGACTGGCTGCACGGTAATAGCCGAGACGTGGGGCGATGGAAAGTCGAGGGCTCTGATCAATTTTCTCATTTCGTCTCCTTCCGGAACCTTCTTCCACAAGTCGGTGGATGCCTCTATGTACTATAAGAACGTGAAGTACCTCTCAGACCTGTTCGACTCGGTGATTCAAGATTTCGGGGCTGAGAATGTGGTCCATGTCATAATCGACGATGCTTTAAACTTCCCCGGACTGGCAAACCATATCCTGCAGAATTACGGGCTGGCTTTCGTTACCCCTTGCGCTTCCCAGTGCATGAATGGGATATTGGAGGAGTTCTGTAAGGTCGATTGGGTCAATCAGTGTATTTTGCAAGCGCAGGCAGTTTCGAAATACGTGTATAACAATTTACCCGCTCTTGATATGATGAAAAATTTCACGGGGGGACAGGATATTATTAGAACCGGGGTCACCAAATACGTCTCTAATTTTCTCTCTTTACAGTCGATGCTCAAGCACAAGTCGAGATTGAAACACATGTTCAACAGCCCCGAGTTCACGACAGATCCCACCTTCGCGAACCGGCCCCAGACGGCAACATGTGTCGGGATTCTTGACGATGGCGAGTTCTGGCGGGCGGTCGAGGAGAGCGTGGCAGTCTCCGAGCCGTTCCTGAGGGTGATGAGGGAGGTTGCGGGTGGAAAACCGGCCGTGGGGTTTGTGTACGAGATGATGACACGGGCAAAAGAGTCGATACGGACTTATTACATTATGGACGAGGTGAAATGCAAAACTTTTCTAGACATTGTGGATAGGAAGTGGCAGAATAGCCTGCACTCGCCTTTGCACTCGGCGGCGGCTTTCTTGAACCCGGGTGTGCAGTATAATCCCGAGGTTAAGTTCCTCGGGTCGATTAAGGAGGAGTTCTTTAGGGTGCTCGAGAAGCTTCTGCCGACACCCGAGCTGAGGCGGGACATAACCAATCAGATTCTGTTGTTCACGAGGGGGAGTGGGATGTTCGGGTGTAGCCTCGCGAAGGAGGCGATCGATACTGTTTCGCCTGGTGAGTTGGCATTTTCTTTTCCTTTTGTTTTTTTGAAAAGTAGCATCTAGATATGGGAACTTTGAACTTTTCATTCGATCAAATGTATGTTTACTGAGCTGTGAATGTTCAAAAATCTACTCATGAACCCCAAAAGCTACCAAATTAGATAATCGGTAAACCCGTTTGCAGGCATTTGGTGGGAACAGTTTGGGGACGGGGCACCCATGCTTCAGCGCGTGGCCATTCGGATACTAAGCCAAGTCTGCAGCACTTGCAATTTCGAGAAGCAATGGACAGCCTCCCAACAAATCCACTCTGAGAAGCGCAACAAAATCGACAAGGAGACTCTTAACGACTTGCTTTACGTCCATTACAATCTCAGGCTGGAAAAATCCTTGAAAACAAACCACTCGGAAAATGACCCACTTCAGATGGAGGACTTGGATATGACATCCGATTGGGTGGAGGAGGCCGATAGCCCGAGCCCGGTCCAGTGGCTCGACCGGTTTGGTTCGGCCCTTGAGGGTGGAGATGTTGGGGATCTCAACACGCGGCAGTTTAGTGCTGCTATTTATGGTGCGGGTGATAATATTTTCAATTTGTAGGTTTTTATATCATGCTGGTGTTTTGTACAAAATTTGTAGAATTGTAGAAGTTTGTATCTTTTATGAGGAATAGTAGGGATCATAATTCTCTGCCATGTATCATACTGAATTGAATTGTGATGCCTTTAGCAATACATACACTAATCAATATATTTTTCACATAAAGAAAAAAGCAAAACGTGCTCTTCAAGATGTGGCAAGATTATTGCTATAGCATGAATCAAAGAATGTGTAATCAAGAAGCATTCATAATTCATACTCATGCTGCAAGCAACTGCCCGAGCTTGAGAATTTTTTTATTGTGGTTAAAAATATACCAAATGTATCATAAAGAGTAGCAATATATGGCCAAAATAGAGTACATCCATTAGAATCAATCACAGTAAAATGGAAATATAAAATGTTTATTTAAGTGAATCCCTATACAATCATATAATAAGATCTTCATTCACACACTACTTCTCCAACCAAAACAAACTTCGACACATCAACGAGCTTCAAATCTTCATCATGTTTTTAGCTTCCCAACACCATTTATCTCATGATGGACTGTTGAGAAAATGAGCCAACGCCTTATCTGTATCGTTGTCGTACGTGATCAAAGCTTCCGCAACATTGTTAGACGAGAATCCCATTTCTCGTAAAAGAGTAAATCCATTGGCAAATTCCTTCACCTGAGATTATAAGCAGGGCAAAAAATTATCAATACTTTGCTTTACATATTCAACCACTTCTCCTTTTCTCTGTTGGTTTTTCCTTTTAGAGTTTGCATTAGAAACCTACTTTACTTCATTATATGCAGCAGCAGAGATCAGTAACAATCTCCTAAGACATATTCAGATCAATTGATAATACCTTGTCTATGGATATAAATCAGGGGAAGCAAAAGAATCTTCTTTTTTATTGTTCATAATCTTCCTCATCGAATTCTCATTACTGTTAATTTTAAGTATAATTTTACAGATATTACATAGTTAAAGAGATTTTTACCTTAGTGGGATTGTCTCCATAATTTGCAACCGCAAGAGGCACAGCCTCTCTGCTAAGACCTGCTGCTATATATTTGTTCAATATAGGATCTGTAGCAGAACCCTACAATAAAAAAGGCCAATTCACACAATGATATAGACTCATCCATTAAGAATACAAAAAGCATTGATCATACAATAACCGAGCACTCAACTCATCCACCCAAAAAACGAGCGGTGGGGGAAGGGACCGGGTTGTTTGATTAGAACAAAATGAACTTGCAAGCTCGAGATGAAACAAAATCCATAACAATAACAGTAAGCAACAATGACACATCAATCTAATAACAAGTCATATAGCTGTTCTGATCATTCATATTTTGAGCAAAAACAGAAAATCTATGCTAATGTCCAATTTAGCAAAATCCGGCACATACATATGAAGCTGTCGGTTCAGCTGCCTTTGGCGGACCATATTCGACACCAAGCCTACTCCAGTTGGGATTATCCTTCACTGCCTCGGCCAAAACATTCCTCTCAAAATCGAAATCAAAGTGGAAATTACTTCTTGGTATTTCCCCCAATTGTGGCAATAACGCAGGCTGATAAAATCAATTGAATTGTTGTTACCTTCAACCAAACAATAAAAATGCAACACTAAAAAACAAAGAAAAAAAAGAACAGTAATAAAAGGCGTACAGGTGGTGTGATCCGGTATTCGGGTTTTATAGAAACCCTAATTCCAACTCCAGCTGCAAATTGAACATACAAGAAACAAACAAAACACATCATCGATCGATATTAACAAATAAATTCACTAAAAATACGATCTTTTGTTAAACGCACAGCTGGAGGGGGCAGGCGGAGCGTGGTGGAAAGGGGGGGTTCGGATGTGCGCGGCGGAGGAGTGGGCTCCGGCGCCACCGATCTTCGGGTAGAGCGACGGCGATTGACCGTACGGCGAGTGAGATGCAGGGGCGGACGACGGTGCGGCGGCTGGGGGAGGCCGGCTGAACGAAGGGATGTCCGAATCGTACGGCGACGATCCGCCGGTGCGCTTTCTGAAATCGTATTCCATAGTTTTCTGTTGATCTAATTCAAAGACTGATTTTTTTAGGGGTTTGATTTTGCAATTGCGGTTTTTTAACTGGGCAAAACTATAAATAAGACAGAAATTTGAGTGGAAAAACAATCCTAACTGTAAGCAAAATAAATAAGTAAACTAGTTTAGGTTTTTTTTTTTTTTTTTTTTA